AGCGCAGCTGGCAACAGGAAGATAATTTTGCTCGTGAACCGGTGAGACAAATTATCATAGCATTGAACACAAATAATTCATTTCTAGGAACAAACCGAACGAATCCTTTTCATTATCAAAAATTTGGACTGGAGCAAGTTACTTTGAGACGAAATGGTTTACCAATAGCAAGTACACTAATCAGTACACAAGATCATAAACGTCTCTTTTTCAACACACTATCAGCGCTGGGTTTGTTGCACTGCGGGCTGGGAATCACTCTGGATAACTACCAACAGCACTTTATTATGTGTTTTGATCTCACTAGCACACAGCAGGCAGCTCATGACTTCTTGCATCCAGAACTTACTAACTGCTCAGTTTCACTCGATCTTCAATTCTCAAACGCTTTGACAGCAAACCTGGAAATTTTTGTTTGGGATATACGCTCATCCAATGTATTTATTACCTCCGACCGCAAAGTTACAAAGAACGTCCTTCCCATTTCGACAGTCTGAAAATGGATGAAATCCAGTTGCAGGACCTCATTCAGAATTGTAAACATCTGAAATATAAGTTTTTTGGAGTATTTGCAGCCGACAATTTTCCACCTCACATCCCAAACAACATCTTTATGATTGTGAACACTTCAAAATCAGATTCTCCGGGGACACATTGGATTGTGATATGCAACAGAAGAAATGTTTTATACTTCGCTGATCCTCTCGGTCTTCCTCTCTGGCAGTACACCAATCTGTATAAACGATTGAACGAGAATTTTCATCAAGTGACTGAATTGATGACAAACTTTCCCATGCAAGACTCAAACTCTACCATGTGCGGTTCTTTTTGTATTTATATTGCACATTTGATTTTTGATAAAAACTTTAATGGTGATGTTTCTGATTTTGTTTATATAACTGATCATGTTTTGAAACGTTTCCTAACTCACATGCTTACCCATTAACTAACCATTTAATATGGTTGATATATACATTTTACAATTCAATTTTGAACAATACATTCTTTTAGTAATTGAAATTTTACCCAATTGTTAACTGAATAGCAGTAATTCGAGAAATTAAGCTTTTTATCAAAGTGAGAAAAAAAGTACAAAATCGATCTATGGGGGGATATCACCATACCAGCTACTGTTGCCTCCTTTCAGTACAATTTCCGGACGGGTTTCGAAACGCTGCCTTTCGGCTGAGAGTCGAGCGCCATGCGTTTTCCTCTACTCGGACCCCAAGAAATTTTGTTCCACTTCAATTTTATAGTAACAAGTTAGGTACAAGTTTTGATAATATTTCTGGGCACTTTTGGCTTTCATCAGTGTTCTCGTTTTTCAAGATCTTAACCCACTACAACTTATTAGCTCTTTCAACCTTTCTATAAAATCAAAGCTTTTGTCATAGATTTCAGACGTTTATTTTTCAGTCTTCTGTAGACACGGAAAATGGAAATGTCGAAATTTTCAAGCCAATTTCATTATTTTAGAGTTTTCAGTGTTGCAAAATTTTTCTTTGTTTTTTACTTTCATTTGGCTTAAAGAAACTTTTCATTCTTATTTCGGTCAAATTGATCATTAGCTTTTACCTAAGTAGAGGTGGCGGCCGCCGCAATTGACGAATTTTCCTTTCTTTGAGATTCAGCAATAAAACATGCATTTTTGAAGGAAACCGTTCACCGCAGCCAACAGTTAAGCTACGCTGTCAAAATCTGGTGCTTTCCTATTACATATAATAGGTATATAACGTCCTTTTACACGTAAACAAGCCAATACCCCCAAACTTTAGAAGGGAAAATATGCACCGACCAAAACTTAATTCTATTCCCGTTTCCACAACGTTCAGTGGGAATACTCAATAATTTACCGAAGTTTTACATAGGGATCAATAAGTATAAAAATTATACATTGGGATCATTAGGTATAAATATTTTACATAGGGATCATTAGGGATAAATATTTTACATAGGGATCATTAGGTATAAATATTAACATAGGGATCATTAGGTATAAATATTTTACATAGGGATCATTAGGTATAAATATTAACATAGGGATCATTAGGTATAAATATTTTACATAGGGATCATTAGGTATAAATATTTACATAGGGATCATTAGGTATAATCTATACCCAATGATCCCTGTAGGGATCACCCCCCCCCCCCCCCGATCCCAGTGTCGTATATCTATACTACTAACATGAAAGTTTAAATGTAATAAAATAAAATTAATTTTTTTTATAATATGAGATTTTTTTGTGAAAACATCCCCCACACGCCATATTAAGTACAAAATGATAAATTTTGCTCCTATTAACAAAACAATTATGAAATATAAGCTTCCTTGAACGAATATAGAACGATTTCTAAGACGGATTAAATCTCGCTTACGTGTTAATAGAGCGAAATATATCGCTCGTTAATTGTCCCAAAATGGCCAAAATGGCAATCTTTAAACCCCCATAACTTTACAAAAAATGATCACAGATGAAATATTTTTTCAAATTTAAGCTCAAGACAACAACAGTTTTCGATTGATAAGAAAAAGTTTTGTCAAAATGGCTTTTTAAAAATTAAAAAGTCAAAATTTGTCTGAAGGAAAAAAACGACCACGAGCACAAATGTTCCATTACTTTCGTTACGAAAGTCTGAACAACAATTACCGCGCAATGTATTTCTTTCTGTTAACGTGTGAACGGCGTTTAAATCTGGCTCAGAAATTGTTCCATCTGGATTCGAAGCTAGCTTTTTGTAGCTTTTAGTACATAGCTAGAGACTAATCACATCACTTTTCATTTCACACAGCGCGTGCGGGAGTGTTTTTTAAAAAATCTGAAAGAAGATTTTTGAATTTTTTTTTGAAGTTGTAGTAATTTTACAATTACTTGAAATGATGATTTGTCCCTAAGATCTTAAGAGCCAGTCAAAACACTCGGCGCTGTGCCTTGATACAATTATTCTTGTTAATACGTTACTCAACGCTAAACTCATCACAGTGTACTTTTTGTACCTGGTATGATAAGAAAAAGGGCTACGCATTGCAAAGCTTCTAAGCTGTTTTTATATTCCCCCCACCTTACAAATTTTGCATTTTCCTAAAATGTATGCATGTTTAATGGCTTAACTTTTGAATTTTTCTGGTAATGTATGAAGAACAAAAGGATTGAAGTGTGTGTTGATGGGTAGTGGAAAAAAGCTTTTTTCGCAAATCGATCTTGCACGCAATTATTAAGGCATAAATTTTTCTCCTTTTACCCCCTCCTGCAAAATTGTACAAGTAAAATTTTTGTTTATAAGAGCCAATCATTTTTGAAACTGTCATGCGGACTAATTCGACCATGACAAACTTATTTGGTTGGGTACCAAACCATGTAAAACCACTCATTACAATTAAAGTTGATCCTCGTAACAAACACTCCTCGTAATAAACTCGTGATATTTTGACGCAATAGACAGGCGCTTCTCCTGTTCATTTTTACTGCAACGAGAATGCTTAAAAACCATTCAAAATAAAAATCGTCGAATAAAATTTTAACAAAAACATGCAACGAAGATGAACAACTCTGATACATTCAAATTGCGGAATTCATGAAAATTGCTCGCAAATGTTTCTTCTTTTTTTCTACGAAGTAGTGTCATATTTAGTACATGGTGTGATTAAAGCACTATTCAAAAGGGTTGAAAGTTGAAGAATTAGGCTTAACCGACATTTTTCTTCAAAAAATGAATAAGATTCAAAAACTCATTAAAAAAATTCAATTTTAGCGCAAAAATTCTCCTTTATTGCGAGGGAAGCGCTGAATGAAAACTCCAAAACTCGAAATGGAACTAAAACTTAAGAATTAAAAAACTTCTCTTCACTGGAACAATTTTTTGATATTTTTAGTTTCGTTCGAATTACTACTGAAATGGCTTTACTTTGATTTATCACTCGACCCTTCCGATGCATGTTTATGGTACCTGGTTTTACGTGGAAACAAAAACTAACACCCGATATTCGATGGCTAGCGTGAACAGGCAAACAAATTTCTACAAAATTTATTACATGTAAAAAACTATGTGAACCATTTTTGAACAGCTTTATTTTTAAATTTTACTAGGGGGTGGGGAAACTGGAAAAGAGACCTACCAGGTTGTACCCCCTTCGTTTTTTTACGCACTGCGAATACGAAAATCAATTTTACAGAGTTTTTGATGTTCTGAGCTGCAATAAAACGTGAAGCGAATAGATTTTGACAAAAATAATTTCACTAAAATTACCGTATGACTTATTTTTAAAAACTTGATACTGTAATTTTACAAGGGGTTGTGAAATGGAAATGAGCCAAAATTGCCAATTTGACAATTCGGCAGTGATGGAGGGAAAATGGACTAATAAAACTATAGTGCGATTTTGCTAAAATGCGCTTTTTGCCAAATGCGTGTGAAACAAAAACTTCACTTGCAAAAGTATTTCATTTTGGCCCTCCACCACATTTGAAATTCAATTTTAAAAAACCCTTTCAACGTTGCGGCTCTTTTCCAGTTCCCCCCCTTTCAAATTCAAATTTGAGAAGCTTATTTAACGTTGTCATAATGCAATGAAATTTGGTGCGGTGAACAAACCAACAACTGTGAACAGATTTGTTCTTCATACTTTACAGCGTAACATCACGCATTTAGCCGTAATAACACTTAAAACAAGCAAAAAAAAACTCGGTTTTATAAAAGGGGGACTGGAAAAGATCCAACGTTGCTTAGTATACACATTAATTTTTCATAGTCTACATCACTACATCATTGCCATTTTAACACCGCGCATTCAGCCAAAATATCACGTACAAGAACAACTATTAATAAGAAGTGTTGTAATGTGTGTGTGTGTGGGGGGGGGGGGGGGGGTGTTGTGAGTGGAAAAGAGCCGCAAAATTTAGCAGGTGGAGGTGCTGGAAAAGAAGGGATGAAAAAAGAAGGAGAGCTAGAAAGAGGAGATGGCACGTGCAGTGCACTGGGGCACTAGAATATCGCACTACCTGGTAGTAGTTGTGGTAGTTGGTGGTCCACGGCTTCGTCTTCCTCTCACTCGGCATCTGGTCCTGCACCAACTCATGTCTCCTGTCACTCCCATACGTCTTCTTCACCACCACTGTCGGCGGGGGGTCAGATGGCCACTGGCTCTCCTTCTGTGGGTCACTGGGATTGTCGAAGCTTGGAAGCACAGATGCGCGGGATATGTGGCTGGCGTAGGGGTGGTCAGCTGGGAACGATTCCTTGATCACGTGGCCTCTACATTAGCAAAACAAGGAACAGTTAGCAATAGACAGCACCATTTTACCCAATGCTCAGTTTCTTCACTCCTTGGCTTACCATTAAGACCTGCTCGCAAAAGAATCCTCTCAATTTTATCCATTGTTCGCGGATTGTATTTGACTGTCGAGAAAAATGGTGGCTAACTTTTCCCCTCAACCATTTATTTGAAACATTAGTCAAGCAAGAAGTCTCAACGAAGCGTATTTTTTGAAAGTATTACATAGAACAGTTTATCGGCACTTTGTTTTTTCCCGTCAAGCAGTGAGTGTTTTCACATTGTTCAATTGCGCTTTTTCCCAGCCCCCCTCATTTTTTTTTGAAATTCGAGCCATAAAAGCATTTTTATAATATTTTTTGATGAGCTAAACTGCAAAAAAAAGTGTCAGCGAAAATCCCTAATACTACTACAACTACTACAAGTGAAGAAATTTTTTACAACAACTCTTGCATGCAGATTGCCGTATGAACAACTATAAACAATCTTATGTTGTAATTTTACAATGGGGCGGCAAGTGGAAAATAGCCTAAAATCCGTGCGCTAATTTGATGCACGCCCCAACCAAGCAAAGTTTGTCGGTTAAAAAGGCCGGCTCGTTTTTGACAAATTTCAAGAAAACTTGGAAGGTGAATTTTGTCGTGTTCCCTGAGGTGGTCGGGTGACGTGGTGTGCTGACTAACGGGAGGCACTTGTGCAGTTTAGTCACCCATCTGGGCACGACAGTGTGGAAATCGAACCGCATCTTGCCCCTGCCCAAGTCAGGCTTCACGTGCTTATTCTTACTCATCAATCACCCTCACAGACACGCAAACACACGCCGGCTCTTTTTCCTTTTCCCCCCACCTGCTAATTTTTATATTTGAAATTACTAATTACTTTGTCCGATTGTCATGAAAATTGACATGCTGATTCATTAGGCCATGACAAACATATTTGGTCTTCATAATTAACCTCGTAAAACTACTCGTTAGACCCTAAAATTCATGTTTGAGTGAGGTGGGGGGGGGGGGAAGGAAAAAGAGCCCACACGCCAAGTAAGTTATAACAGAACCACTTAAATCAGCCAAGCTAAGAGCAGAGAAGAGGTACTCTTTGGTAGTGTTTTTAAATACGGTATGATATTATGATAAGAGTATTATGATAACGAAATCTAATTATGATTAAAAGGTATCCACTCAATTTGAAATATTAACACGTGCATTAAAACAACAAAAATAGGAACAATTAGAGCTTTATGAGCTTCAGTATATCAACTAAAGTATTTAGGACAGTTTTGGGCGAGCTTTGTTAGTATCAACTTGAAGTTAATCGTCAGGATGGAAAAAAAAACAACTTTGTTGGTTGTCCTAACAATTTCACCAATTTGCCACTAACCTGAGATCTACTCTCTCTGGCCGAGGAACTCTGAAAAAGAAACGCACTTATAGAACATTGCAAGCATGAAAAACCTGGTTTTTTCTACTTTCTCACACTTGTTTTTGTGGCTATGAATGCATGTAATTACGATGTAAAGTATGGAGAGCAAATCTATTCTCGATAGGTAGTCTGTTCACTCTCGCAAAAATTTATTGCAAGACTTGAACCTTGAAATGAAATAGTTGGAGAGGTTGGGGCGGAGAGTGGAAAAGGGTTCCCACCTCTTTAACTCTAAACAACTTAACACCATACAAAGTCACTTCCTAGTTTGTTGCCTTAGCAATTTAAAACCACTACATTTTAAAACTATTTCTATAACTGAATACCAATTTAGTCCAAAACGAAAAGAGAACTTACTAAAAAGGGGAAAAACGAGTTTTCACAATTTTAATTACATAGATATTTTAATATAAACAGTATCGGATGTAGAGGCTGGGGAAGGGGAGGCCACGCACTTCCCTCTCCTCGGGGATGCAACAAAAAATTCAAGTTTTTGGTCAAAATTTTCCAAAAAGTGCTAAAAAACGCCATTTTTTCAAAATTTTGTCTGCGGGGCAGAAAATTTGGCCGAAATCGGGACTTTTTAATGCTTTGAGAGAGTTGAAAAATCATTTTGGTGGACCTAAAAAAAACCGGCCCCCTCGAGAAGTTCCTAGATCCCACCCTGGCTGAATGACCCTAGAATTTGTTCTCCAGGCACCTTGGGTGCCAATTTATATACTAATTTTGATTGGGGAGTACGCACCAAATAGAGAAAACTTTTAGTCAAAACAGTTTTAAGAAAATGCTTAGGCTCTGTCCTAAATAATATGCCTTTTATTGTTTAATGTAAGAATTTGAGGGTGGGGGAGGCGGGGGAAGAAAAAAAGGCAGATCCTAATAACCCGGGTTGACCTCCATAAAGCGAAAATGCTTATCTTACAATTCCATACTCCGAAAATGCTTATCATACAATTCCATACATCAAACGTATGGAAAAATACTAATCATACAACTTTTATACAATTTCAAAAAATCATTGAAAAAAATACGAACTAGTTTCTGCGGCCATTTGAACCATATAAAACAGTCTGGTGATGAAAAAAAAACTATGTTTTTTTTGGACAAAACGGTTATCATACAATTTCCATATATGAAAATGGTATGATTGGCGTTTTTTTGATGGCGACGACAAAAATTTTTCCAAGTAAAATTAAAATTGCCCCAACATTTTTTTGTTTTTCTTTAACCGCAAATCGAAGTTTGTACTCAAAAAATTATTTCCCAAGAACATTTTTGCATATAAATTTTATTTTTTGTCTGCATAACGTAGTCCTGGATACACAAAAATTGGATTTTTTTTCGTTTCTCTGGATAATTTTTTTCAAACAGGCAAAAAACTCCTACTTCTTTTGTATGGCATGTTAATATATACCTTGATCAATGTCTGATAATTCGAAAATTCTAATTTTGAAAATAATCATCTTTACAAAATTTTGCCGAAACTTAAAATTTGATGCTTTCAGTTTATGATTTGTGGAAAGAGCTGTTACACAATTTATGCCGTTTTCAATGCATTGCAAATGCCAGACGATCAACCCTTTGGTGGTTTTAGTTTTGAGTAAACCATGGGTTTAGTCACTTGTGTTCGGTCACGACTCATCCTAAAAATTTTAAGAAATGAAATTTTTAAAAAATCAACTTTTTGGTTAAGAAAAAATGCTTATCCTACAGTTTCCATAAATGAAAAAATGCTTATCTTGTAGTATCATGTATGAAAATTATATGATAAGCATTTTTGGTCAACCCGGGAACGTAGTTTTTGGTCTGCTGTTTTTTTAAACGCCCGCGGCATCAAAAATTTTCAGGCTCGACCAAACAGTTTTTTCAGGCCGCTCGGTCGAATAATATCCGGGTCGATAAGGCATTTTTTGAATTGTTTCGACAAAAAATTTTCTTTCTTTGGCGCGTGCTTCCTGCCCAAAATGAGTATATATTGGCGTCAAAGGAAAATTTTTTGGGTCCGTCAGCCAAAAGTTTATTTCCCAAAAAAGTACAAAAGGGGACCCTTTAGGTCGACAGAGGGTGGAATCCTTGAGAAAAGGGGACTCTAGCCCCCCCCCCCCCTATGGGGTCGACATTTTCAGCAACATTTATCTTCGTTAAAAAGCTGCGATGCGATTGGCCCCGAGTTGTCACGGAAAAATGTCCAACCAATGGAGCTCAAACTTGAGAACATTTTGCTCATTCACAATTCACTCATTCCATAATTTTGGACAAAAAATAGGCTAATTCGTCCCCTTGAGAAGACACTCAAACCGACTCACTGATCTTCAGGTTTTTTCATTACTTTTCAAATCAACGATTCTTTTCAATTCAACTCTGAGTTGTCTAATTTTTGAGAAAAAAAAGGATGATTGATCCACGTTTTTGCGTAGAGCATATAGTAAAGCATATAAACAAGCTAGGCATATAGTCAGGGGCGGATCTAGGATTTTCTAGGGTGGTGGTTTTTCAAAAAAATTTTGAAAATGTTGTCTACCTTTTTTTGTAGGTCAACCGAACTGATCTTTCGAGCTCTCCCTAAGCACGGTTTAGTCACTGTTTTGGCCAAAATTTCTGCGCCGCAGGCAAAATTTTGAAAAAACAGTCCAAAAAAAAGCACGTTTTTAAGCACTTTTTGGAAAATTTTGACCAAAAAATCGCGTTTTTTCGGCGCGCGCTCCCCTCTCAAAATTAGTATGTATTGGCGCCAAAGGCGCCTTTAGAAAAATTTAGGGTCAGTCGGTCGTAAAATGGGTTTCTTAAAAAGTACCAAAGAGGGAACCCTTTGGGTCGGCAGGGTGTCGAATCCCTGAGAGAAGAGCGTCCAACCCCCGCCCCCCCTAAATCTGCCCCTGCATATAGTAGCCATGCATTCAGTAGAGCATATATGCCAATCCGTCAAAATCAAAAAAAAATAAATGTTGGCTAGAAAAGTTTGTTAGTCATTGCTGCTCGAGCAATCGTTTCAATTCACATGCCTCGCAGTCAAATGTTAGCAAATTGAGTCAGCAAATCCCTGAATGCACAATTTTGGTACGATTTTTTTGGCGCGCTCCTCGCTGAAAAAAGCTATATATTATTGGAATCAAAGTCGCTTATAAATGTTCTAGGGTTGATGACGAAAAAAAAGCAAAGCGAATCCAAATGTTCAATTTGGTGCAAAAACGTAATTTGACATCAATGTTTCTTCTGCTCCTTCGCAAATCAGATACAAGTGGTCTGCACGTTAAAAATCCAAATTGATTGTTTGATCCTTTTCCACTTACAGTTCATCGTGTGCCCTGACACTGCTAAGGATATGAGGTGCATTCTTGTAGTTCTGTTCCAAGGGGTACCCTCTGAAAAGAAACAAGACAGGTCATAGCAACAAATTCTTACCACTTATTTTAAAAATTAAACCACTTACAAGTTATATGAACATAATCCGACTCAATTATTTTCATCAAGCCCAGCCATCTTTCCCTTTTTGTTCCGACCATTGAAAATGGGGAGTAACTTTGTATTCGGGTGTTTTACTTTCTTTTTTTTTCAATTTCTTTTTTTGTTTTCCACGCAAAATCAGCTACCACAAATAGTCATCGGACAGTGTCGAGTGATATATCATATTAAAGCCCTTTCAGTCGTGATTCAAACGACATTAAAAAAAAATCAATCATTTTTTCTCAGTGACGAGAAAAATCGCTTTGAAATTTTTGATCTGGTAGTTTAATTTCGAGCAAATACAGGCGAACGAGCAGACTTAAAGTAGCTTATTTATGCTTAATTAAGCCGAGAAAAGTGAGTTTTTAGCCAATAAAACATATTTTTGGATTTTTAAAGCAAAATGTCGGGAATCAAAAACGGCAAAGTTTCAAAAACTCGCAAAATGTCGGCAATCGAAAGCAGCAAAATTTCAACAAATTCAGCAAAAAACTTCTAAAAAATTTTCGACCTCTTTTTTGATTTTTTAACGATCTACAAAAACTGTTTCCAGTTTGCCTATTTTAGTATGACTGTCGAATATGTCTAAATTTTCGTTTAGATCCCCACGCAAAAAAAACGATACTAATTAGAAACACATTTTTTGTCGTAACATTCTGTGGTCGGAACATTCTGTGCTAGCTGCACAGTAACCGGCTATCCTTGTTTCTAGAAGGATAGCCGGAAAAATAGTGGAAATAGTGATTTTATATGCGATAAATAAGGCAAATCATAATAACAATAGCGGTTTCTGCGATTGCTATCGAAGGCTATCCAGCCTGTCCGAGGATAGTCCGTTTCTCTTATTTCCTCCACATTCCAGACTATGATTGTTATTGTTGAGCGTAGCTAACTTTTTGCAGCTCAAATCCTTTTTTTGCGTCTAGAAATTTCTTTTTATGCCTTTTCTTTTTTTGCAAAGGTCACAGTGAAGGTGAAATTGTAGTAATATGTAGGCAGTGACTATACTGACGGAGGAAATGGGTTGACCCCTGATCCGAAGTGCTTGTGTCCCTTTTCCACTCTCTCAGGGGGCTCTGTTTTGGGCCGATGATCTCTCGGCAAGTTCACACTCATCAGTCCAGCATAACTCCTTTCTCTGCCCCACGGCAACCTGAAAACTCTGGGACTCAAGAAAAGTTCTGGGTCTAATCTCATACCGACACCGAGGCCAAAGAGACGAAGGCTAATTTTTGAACAGAAGACGAGTTGAAAGAATTTCATGAATGAGATTTTCCAACTCGAATTTGATTCTAAATTGACAACGATTGTTAGCACAAACACGATTTTAAGCCAAAGACACCTGCGAGCAAACTTTTTGTTCTGTTAAATGGTGACCTATGTTGTTAGTTGAGCTGTTGTAAGCTGTTGTAATCCTTCTATCATTATACCAAGTCACAAAAATATGAAAAGACTAATAAGTGAAAACATATGTTTCGGGGTCTACTTTTAAGTGATATTTCCTACATTTTGTACGGATGACCCATGCAGATTAAGAAGAAACGACAAGTTAAAATCGACGAGTCACATGTTCTTAAATGCGATAAAACTTACCGACTGGTCTGAATGATGGTGGGCGTCGCTTCCCCATGTTGCTGTTGTCGCATCTTTTCGTACCTGTCAAACACACCCGAGTCCAAAACCACAGTCGTCATTATGGCCACAACAATAAGTCAGATCAGATATGAATAAGCCGAGAAAAAAACGCTCTTAGTTAATCATTTTAATGGAACTCTGCTGGTGCTTTCAACCATGACGGTAACAAAATGAGACTCAGTGCGGCTGCCTTTTATGTCTCTAAATAGAATATGGGGACGTTGTAACGAAAGGGGCTACAGAATTTCGATCAGATACAATATTCGATGTTTGTTTTAAAACATTCAGAAATTGCTGACTTGTTTTGCCGTGTTGCGATGGCTGGAAATTTTTTCAGATGTATCTTAAGGACCAGTTCTCTTCAAATACAAAATAAGCAGCATTTTATGGATAATGGAAAAACAAGAAGTCTCTGAAAACATCAAACGAGCTCATCTTTTCACCTGCTTTTCCAAAAAAGACATTTAAAACAGTTGTAAACAGTTTGAGCAGCCTGTACTTTGGTGTCTAAATTAGGGATGTTTGTTTTTTATGGATGGGTAACAATCACAAAAACGCATATTGTTTATCGCTTACATGGCTGAGCTTCATTCAATCATTTTCAGCTCAAATAATCCACAAAAAAACATATGGTATCAAAACCGACGGGCGGTGGTTGCGTGCTTCTCCACCGAAAGCTGATTAATCAGTTAAATTTTGATTAACAAGCTAATAAGACAAATTTAAATTAAACAAATTAAACAAAATTTGACAGAATAAGCTCGTTAAAACAGAAAATCAAATCGTTTTTTAAAATTCACTAGTTCATCATTGATTTAGAACACAAACAGTTTGGACTAGGAAATTTGGAAATTTGTCAGCGCTGGAAAAAGTTGCTTAGCATAAACTTCTGCTGATGCTGTATGAAAACCGATGAAAACAATGATATCAGAAGCTCATAATAGTTTTGCTCCGGAAAACCTCAATAGGTTTTTTTTATAAATCCGGAAATTTTTTTAAATCCAAACTTTTTTAAAATCCAATTTTTTTAAAAGTATTTTCTGTGCGCCATAACACTTGCTAAAAGTTTTCGCATTGATGTATACAGCATTTGAACAATTTTACTCTTGTTTCGAGTAACTGTGAGAGCCTAGAAAAATTTTGAAAAAATGGTCATGATTTCTTAGTTCTCTGAAACTCAAATTTTTTATACAATTTCAGATTTAGGGGGGGGGGGGGGGGGGCAACGCCTCCTACTCAGGGATTCGACCCCCTGCCGACCCAAAGGGTCCCCTTTTGTTACTTTGAGATATCCATGATTGATGACAGAACTTAAAAGCGTTCTAGTGGCGCACTAGGCGCCAATATAATTTAAGTTTGAGGGGGGAGCGCGCGCCGAAAAAACGCGATTTTTTTGTCAATATTTTCCAAAAAAGTGCCTAAGAATGTTATTTTTTGCTCTGTTTTCCAAATTTTAGCATGTGGCAGAAAAAATGGTCAAAACAGGGTCTTTTTAGTGCTTACGGAGAGATTGGAAAATCAATTTGGTCGACCTAAAAAAAGCGACAAAATTTTCGAAAATTTTTTGAAAATCAGCCTCCTTCCAGAAAATCCCAGATCCGTCCCTGCACAATTTAACTGCAAATCGAGAAAATCTAAATCAAAAAACTCATTCAACAAAACTGATTCAATTTCAATTGAACGCGTTTATTGTTACAGCTACTCTCGAATATTTGTGCTCGGACTTTTTTTTCTTCTTCAGACAAATTTCTATTTTTAACTAACTTTTTAAAAATCTTTCGAAAGATACTGTTGCTTTGAGCTCAAATATTGAAACTTTACTTCACTTGTGACCATTTTTTGTATGGTTACTGGGGTTTAAAAATTCGTACTATTATTGTGTAAGCGGAGACTTGATCCGTCTTAGAAATCGTTCCAAATTGGATTGAGGCATACTGTTTGGTCTTTACAATCGTTTGCTATATGCAAAGTGTACTTGCTATAAGTACATCACTTTGTACTTTACATAGCGTGTGGGGGATATTTTTCAAAAAAAAACTTTAAAAAGTTTTGAAACTTTTTCATGTTTAAAATTTTTTTTTCAGTTATTTTGATTTCAACTAATCCATAGTAATTAAAATGCATTCAGATTTTGCCGTGATATGAACAATCTTCTTCATATTTTTTATGAGCACTGAAAATTTCACTGGGATCTGAGTTAAACAATGACAGCCAATTAGGTAGCACAATTTTATAAAATCAAGAACAAAAAAATCAAGAACAGAAAAATGAAAAAAAATACTATTTTTATTTAATCAAATTAATCAAAATAATATTACACAAATTAAAACCGTACTAAAATAAGGATAGCTGGTTCCAACCACATTAAAAAAAACTTCAATTTTTTCTCCATATTAGTGTCGTTTTAGTGAGTAGTGTGATTAGAGAACTATGAAAACGCGTATGAAGTCAGTGCATTAGGCATATTCGACAACATTTGACAACATGAATGACAAACAAAAAATGGTTGACAAATAAAAACATAAAACTCTTTTACTGAAGTTGTTTTTAAAATAATTTAAATCTTGAGAAAACCTTTATTGCCAAAAAACCGCTAAATAAAGCTTCAGACGCTAGTTTTTTTTCCAAAAAGCAGAACTTTCTTAGCCTAAAAGCCTAATTAAAAGTTAAATGTTTATACATTGAATGTTAGTCGATCGCTTTAATCGCTCGAAACTGAACTCAAACTGAGATTGCTTTAGAATGCTTCAATTTGATATGTCCATCGACCCATATATTTCTCTGATTACTTTTGTTGCCAGATTTTGCGCGGAAAAAAACTAAAACACTTCCGAATACAAAATTCCTCCTTATTTTCAATGGTCGAAACAATAAAGTCAACGGTTGAGCTCTGACCAAAATAGGTGTTGCTTGGTCTTAAAAATGAAAAACATTAGACCAATTTTCCCGAGAGTGATAACTTTATTGGAATCCAAATCAAAACTGAAAAAGAGGCTTCAGTCTGATTCCACTCTTGACAATTTTTTTTCGAGATATTCAAAATTAGTAGAAAAAACTTAGGCCAGAAAGCCATAGCTACTTCGAATGTTTTGAGGTGGTCTTAACTGAGGTCGTCAAAAAAAAATTGACTATAAAAGTTGAAGAAAATTTTTATTTTCATTCATTTTCTTTGAATATTGCGGTCAACATTTACACAATAACCAAATCTAAATATAGATTCAATTCTTTTTCCAGGAGTTAGTTTTTCTTCTTAATAACCTTAGAATTACGTACAAACGATGTAATACATAATAGATTTTGAAAGTACAAAAAATCAAGTTCAACATTCAAGGCAGCACCCGAGACTACAGTATTCAAAGTTGAGCCTCCTGAGAAGAAAACCCTACTTTTACAGACGATTTGTTCAATATGGCAACAACATGCATTTTAAAACATCAAACTGAAAATTTACCGCGTCCACAAAACGCAAGACTTCGATTTGAAAAAGTGGACTGACTAATCTTCAAGGTTGACTCGCTAACGAACTCGCTTCATCATATAATTGTCACAGTACTTGAACCATATTTGACGCTTTAAAATGAGCTGCTGCTGAATTGAAGTTATCGAATCCTTGAAATCAGATAAAAGAAGATATTTTACCTCCGATTGTTTTTTGCAACTTTCTGGGAGTTTAAAAATTGCCAATGTGACCTTGCTCTGAACCAATTTATGCATATTTTGAAGATTTTTTTCAGAATGCTGAAAGCGTAATGCTAATTATTTATGCTTAATGAATTATCCCGCACAACAAAATTGTTCCAAATTTAATTGAGGCTGGCTAATCAGTCGTATTGAATTCGTCCGGCCAAAATTTTACGCTTCATCTTTGACTTTGTCCAAAAATTATAGTTTTTCAATATTTTCTTTTCCCTTAATTTATTTGATATGGATTAAGGGGGAGTTGGAATTTTCAGAGCTTTGCAGTCTTGTTAAAAACTTAATTATTTCAATTGCAGTAATGTTACGTTAAACTGCAATTTTGCAATTTCTTTTGGCATGATTTTACACACGCAAACGCCTGTGTTTCATTACAAAGTGTGTGTTTTTCAGCTGAACTCGCAAAAATTAGCGGTAAACAATTTAGTGACTCTATTAGTGCGTAGCATTTTAGCCTTGAAAATTTTTTAGCATGGTTTCTATGCACTTCATAGGTATTTGAAGAAAGTAAGGAGGTATGGAGCAGTTGACATGACATAGGACTCTGAAGAGAGACTTAAAAAAACCTAGTTAATTTTTCTTAAGGTATCTTTCGATTGTACTTTTGCAAAAAGCATGCTTCGGAACCCGGATCAAGGTGCTCACTTTATGATTCGACTTTCAAATTCGAATTAGTGCTCGATCGAAAAATAATAGTAGCATTACGCTTTCAGCATTCTGAAAAAAATCTTCAAAATATGCATAAATTGGTTCAGAGCAAGGTCACATTGGCAAGAGTCAAAACATACCTCGAGCACGGTCGAAACATACCTCGAGCACGGTCGAAACATACCTCGAGCACGGTCGAAACATACCTCGAGCATGGTCGAACACGGTCGAGCACGGTCGAGCACGGTCGAACCTCGATCACGGTCGAAAAATACCGATTTTCCCGCGGTAATTCAGAGCATTAAAAAAACTTCTTGTAAATATGAACATATTTCTTTCATGTTTTTGACTGAAATTGCAAAGCAGTGTTTCAAAAGATGGAAAAAACAGCTCGAAAATAGTTCAGCTCTATAAATCATTTCAATTGCAAATAATTCTAATAATTTTATCCCGATAAAAAGTATGATGATATGTTACCCGAAAAGCAAATAAATTATAAAATTTAAATTTGGATAAATCCTGTTGCTTGAAAATTGAAACATACCCGAATTCGATCAAGCACGGTCGACACATATCTTACTTGGATCTAGCACAGTCGAGCACAATTTTTTTTGGTCGATAACGGTCAAAACTAATGTTGTTTGGGTCGAGCACGGTCGAAATATGCCAATTTTTGTCCAAACACTGTTGAGTCATACCAAATTTTGGACGAGATGGTCGAAACATAAAGTGAACACCTGGAACCGGGTGGGTTCTCATTCAGACTAAATTCGATTGAAACAAACCGATTTTGATGATTTGTTTCATTCCTTAAACTCCCTAATTTCGTTAAACTACACTTTTGCCGAAAACTTGGCAACTAAATGCATGCAAGTTCAATTGCATGTCAAAATTTTTTCTAAAACCATTAAATTGTTCTTTCTTATTTGAAATGCATATTTTGCACCAAAATAGTTATCGAAATTATTATTTGGGTCGGCGAAGATTCTACGGTAAGTCACAACGGGAGAGAGGTCGTACAGATCATCCAGAAAAACAGTACCTAGCCTCTGAGCAACTTTGATTGGGTATATAAGTTTAATGTCTTATTAAGAACTCGGTAAGGTATTGATGTTCTGATTTCAACATTTGTACTTCACAACCGACGGCTGAGAATCAAGTTTAAACATTTAATTGCAGATATTTCTTTGGTTAAATAATTTGTTCCATTCCTTATAAGCTTCTGAAGCCCTTTTTGTTTCGACATTAGGAAAAAAATGACGAACTATTTTTGCTCGGGATAGATTTTTTCTCCAAACAATTTTGTGTCCTCAACGAGGTGCAATTTTTTTAATCAATCGAGTTCAAAAAAATACGCACCTGTAATTTTTTTGTCATAAACCATGGAGATTTTTAGATTGCCAGTTTTGCCATTCTGGCAGTTAACGCGTGATATGTTTCGTGCCTTCCACGCTTGAGTGGAGGTTTAATCCGTCTAACAAGTTTTTTCAACTCGAAGTCAGGCATGCTATTTGGCGTATTTAATTCTTTGCAATATATCACTTTGCACTTTACATGGCCTGTGAGGAGATGTCTTTCAAAACTATCTCCAAAATATTTTTAACTGTTTAGTTTGAACTCATTTGTTTTGAAAACTTTATCCATTTTTTGAAGTTAACACTACTGAATAAACCTTAAAAAGCAGTCGGAACACTCAAGGCTTAGTCTGTCGCGAGATGTCTTGTTGTTCTGACTTTCGAATATTTGACAAATTTCCACTACAAAACTAGCTTTTTTGACAAAAGTTTTTTATAAATTTTAAAATGTGTTCTTGCTTTGAGCTCAAACTGTACAAAAATAATTCTTCTCTGACTTTTGTTGTAATTTTATGGGACTATAAAGATTGCCAATTTAGTCAATTCAGGTATGCACAACAAAAATATGAAGGTATATTCTTTGTGTGTTTTGAAAGCTTAATCAACATTTCTAATCTCATCCAACTCTGTTCCGATAGCTCACAAATGTCTAAAGTCTTCGATTGTAAGAACACAAAAACTGTGCTGAGCTGACTTAGTCTTTTTGTTCCGAGTTTTTAAAAATCTTTCGTTTTTGAAATATTACATCGTTTTATTGAAAGGAAACACTAAAACATAGACCTTCAGAGGCTGTCTGAACATTCAAGGTTTCGTTCTGATACGAGCAGACTTGTTGATTTTTGCTCTTCTATATTGCTCATACTTAGCAAGAAGTAGCGTTGTACTCAGATGTTGCTGATAGATTGCAGTTAACTTTGCTAGGTTTTTGTTTTGTGTTCGGAAAATTCCTGATCACGAGTTCTTTTCTAATTTTCATGACAACGCGAGCAATTTTCCTGGCTTGAGATGTTGAGTTACTGATGTGCATCATAACTGTGAAAAACTTATTGGTTTTTACAAGTTTTTGGCCAAACATTTTTTTGGCAAATTTTTTTCCGTTAAAAAATGATGGATGAAAATTGTGGATGAAAAAAGCATCCAACAACAGATTTTTGGGATGAAAAAAGCATCCAACAACAGATTTTTTTATTAACAAAAAGAATAAAAGAGTTCCTTTTATTCTAAATAATTCGCCTGAGTTGAATTAATGTTCTTGCAAGAAATGTTTATGCTGTCGTTGGCTAATACTTTTGTACCGAACATGCTGCAATTTTCATCAATCTTAATGAATAGCGCAAAAATATCAATACTTGCTAGTGTTTTAGATGCCAGCAATTATTAGTTTTACGTTTTTGAAGTGCCGCTTTATAGTTTTGCCATTTTCAAATATAAACGTTTTTGAAAGTTAATTCTTAATTTTTTTTTCAGATTTTTCCTTGCTCTGATACTTGTTTTGTTCAGGCGGCAAAATATTGCTGTTTATTTTATTTTTAGATTTAGCTGCATTTGTTTAATTTTCGGGACAGTTGTTTTACATTTTTTTTTATTTAACCTCCAGCTTTTGACATTTGAAGAGATAGTATTATATTTTGTTTTTAAAACTCAAAAACCATTCAAAACATACCAGTTTTTGGGTCTTTTGGAGTTCTGCTACAATTTTTCAACAGTTCCTTTCTATGTTTTTTACAATTTAAATTGTTTAAAAAGTTTTTGCTTTTTTTATCAATTTTTGCAGATAGATTGTTGAAATATCATACAATTTCAATTACAGAGTGTATACGAAAATTTTTTCATTCAATTTCCTTATAAGAAAAATGTATGACTAGCATTTTTTACCCTGCTGCAAAAAAAAATTTCGTGGGCTGAACGTAGTCCAGAATTGAAATTTCTAATGCTTTATTTTTGTAAAATATACTTCAATTTGTCAAGAAAAATCAGCTCTCGATTTTCGACGTAAGATATTTCTAGCCAAATGACTTTCTAGCCAAATACAAAAGTTGAAGGTTTTTACTCATAGGTCGAAGTAAACTAAGAAAACTTATCTCATACATTCTCGCATTCTAATAGATGCAAATGCGAGTATCAGCGAGGTTTCTTCTCATCAACCAATGTGCTTCCTTGTGTTAAAAAAGCTTTGGTTTTTGTGTTTCGCACAAAACCAAAAAATATTTTACAAAACTCAAAAAATAATTAAATTTGGACATGAAAAAACGGTATCGTAGAGTTTTCTTACAATAGTCTGAAGGTATGGAGTTGTGCGAAATTGTATGCAAAGCATTTTTGACCAACCCGGGTTATCGATGTTCACGGGATGTGCGGTTGCGGATTCTCAAACGTGTAATAAAAATCACCTCTGGATGCGGGGTGTGGTGTATACTCCAACAGATACTTACATGATGTTCGAGCATGTTATGCGGGGTGGTAGCTGATCGGGGTCGTGCATGTAGTGAGAGGTGAAGTTACCATTGATGTAGTCTTTTTCTTTATACTGTCTATAATAGTACTCAACTCCCAGGGGCGGAGGCAAATCCAGAGGGTTAATAAGAGAACCAGTCTCCGTCGCATAATCTCTAGGATAAAGCACAATGGGTGGAGGGTCACGGTGAGTAACCAGAACTTCAGTCGATGCCATGTTTGAGCTGCTGTTCAGATGCGCAAAATACAAGAGAGATAACAAATTGAAACCGAGCTAACGAAGCCGTGATGACACCATGTCACAATGATCTATCAAACTTATAGACACTTTTCTTTTCTTGCTCTAACAGTTGTCGCTCGAACATAAAACCACTTGGTAAGTAAATTTTTACACTTCGCTCAGCGCAAATTTTGAAAACAACAAAATGACTTCAAAGTTACAATCTACGTTACAAAAATACTAGTACACGTTTTTGAGATAATATCATTTTCGAATACACGAGTAAGTTGATGTTTAAAAAATAATAACTGTTGCCATAGCGTGAAGTTTATGTTTTACGTTAAGAAGTATCATTTTAATCTAGCACTGATAGAGTCATGTGTACTATTCGAGAAAAGCTTTCAAATTGTTTTTTAACTGCAAAAACGAACAAACAGGTTTTTAAAATGTGGCTTTTAGGGCTGAGTCTCACAAATTTAAATTGTTTAACAAACTATTCGTTATTTCAGCTGAATTTTGGGGAGGACAAATAAATACATTACAGTGTAAACTTACAAATTTTAAGCTAAATATCCAACGAAAAAAAAATTGAAATCCAAAATATCATTTACATAATACTTATTCAAGTTGAACATTTTTTAAAAATTTTAATATGTTAACGGTACAGTCAAATCTAGTTTCGCGTCCTTGTTATTTGAGAAGTTTCGCGTCCTGATTATTTGAGAATGATTTCCTTTCTCAAAGTATCAAGGAGACATTTTCAGATGCCTAGATCAATAATATTTATTTTGTTTATAAACCACATGTAGTGGAGATCATTTTATGTACTATATAATTAACAAAGAATGTCAAGGTCAACTGCGTGTTTAGCCATTGGCACTGGTGACCTGAAAGTGTTCAACTTGTTTTACTTATGTCTCTTTACTACAAGCGTACGTCGTTACATGAGCTCTAAGTATACTTCTGCACCGGTTAACTTGAACTTTAATTGAAACGGTTGCAAAAAGTCATCAGCTAATAGCGTAAGCCACAGAAGACAAGGATATGGAGTTAACCTTGGCAGATATCGAAGCAGAGACTGCTTTTCTCCTGAAAAACTTTGACCCAACCCTTTCTACATGCCGTACTTCTACATGGCGCAGTCACAAACGGAGCTACGGCGGCCTAGGTAGTTTTTGGCATGATTTATCTCAAGATTCGCCATTACCGTGTGATGACTTGGCACAAAAAAAGTTTTTGGTGTAAATCGCCAAGAAGGAAATAATTTTTTTTGCGGAAAATACGTTACCTGAAAATATCTTTCCTACTATGGAAGAGCACGCCGGTACCAACAAGGCTCAGGCGAGAGCAGAAGGTGAAGCTCGGAATACAGAAGCAAGCAATAAGAACGTGGAGAGAAGAGGAAAACCGTCGGATGGACAAAAAAAAGCATATATTGAAAGAGTACCCCGGGAGAAGCTGTTTTAAAGTTTGACATCAAAACTATTTTTGCTCTTATTTAAACAGTTAAATGGATATTTTTACCAGAAATACTCTCTTCTGAAAACTGTGAGATTTGTGACATTTGGCAGTAAAGGCCTTTCGAATAGAACCAAACGACACAAATCGTAGGTTTATCATATTCGAAGAAAACAACGAGAGAACGAAGGAATGGAAGACTTCTTTGGAATGTTGAGTGAGTTAAAGAGAGTGCGATTTTGGTTCGAAAAAAGAGTCAATACTGAAATACCTGTTTATCTTCAACATGCAGAATGAAAAAATCCGTAGGCAATTGTGTATGGAAACATTAGCCCCGGTTGATGCCTTGCAATCCGCACTGGTGAGAAAGAGTAAAATAATGTACAAGAGGGTCAGCGGGGGTCTACCGAAATCTGTCAGAGATAACTTCAAACCTGGGCACCAGAATACCGGGGGTGGCCAGCAATGACGTAAAGCCTCAAAGCCAAGAGAAGTGTCATAACGGCGGAAGTTGACAAAAACCAATCATCGTATGAATTGTTCGGCAAGTAACATTATATGCAACAATTGCAGTGAGCGCGGACACTTTGCAAAGCATTGTAGAAAAGATTCAGTCAATGAGCTAGATGGGTACGAGTATACTGGGAGTATACTTATTCAAAAAATGAGTTGGAAAGGGCAATGAAGAGTGGGGTGTGATTGCGATATGAAGAGTGTGGGATAAAACAGGAAATGAAATCCGGAAGTTATCTGATATCAAGATGGGTAAAAGCCATAGAGAACCTTCAAGAACTCAAGATCCAGGACAAGTTTTCAGCAGTTGGATCGGTGCCAGATAGTATCAAGGACATCTTTTACAGTGCAACGAGTCAGAAGGTTGTATCGCAGAATTGTTCATTATCAAGGGCGGCCAAAGAGATATCATCGGGAAAATTATCGTACCACAATTGGGCATTGAAGTACATCAGAAACGAGTACAGCGGATAGTGAAGGAAGTTGACCAGGATGAGAATGGTCTGAAAATGCAGTGTTCCTTGATTCAACGTTAGTACACTAGGTTTATTCTACAAGATTTCAAGGTTATATTTGGAAGAAAAGAAGTACTTAAAATTGCGAGGTGACAACGCAACTTCATGAACCATTGCGTCTGATTCATGTGAAAGGTAAAAGAATGCCAGTTCACAAGTTACTCAAAGTAGAGGAAACAATCAATAGTTTTCTGAAAGAAGGTCACATTTGTAAAGTTGCTTTGTTTTGCCAACGGTATTGGTTGCTAAACGGGTTGGATCGGTGAAAATAGCGTTCAATTCAAAATTATTAAGCAAACAAAGTTATCACAGTTTTTGCCAGATGCCTAAGATGAGTCAATTAGTTGACAATGTACCTCTATCCATCAGTTGTACTATAGAATAACCAAAATATCGAATTTTGATTTGAAGTACACATACTCCCAAATGTCATTAAGCAAAGCAACTAGTCGAAAAAGTAATTCAAGTAATGTTGGAGGCAACATTATTGAAAAAAACCGGTTCAAAGTGGAGTTTTATGGATTGAGGGACATGTCCAAAGAATTCCAACGGGTGATGGTCACAATGTTGGGACATCTACAGGGGTACATGTGTATCTCGATGATATAATGAAGAACGCCACTGGAGGGAAACTAGGAACGTTCTACGGGTATTGGATGGCTGCTGCTAACTAGAGCAAATGTGTTTTTTTTTTTCGTTTAAGAGATTGAGTGGTGTGGGTTAAATATTTTAGAAAAAGGGAACATAGAGAGAACGATTGAGTCCATTTTGAAGATGAAACAACTGGAAAACATACCTGACATCAGATCATTGAAAAAGTCTGTCAAATAATTCATACGACTCATATCGAACTTTGCCGCTATGGCACAGTTGCTTAGCAATTTAAGTAAAAAAACTCTCACTTTTTGAGTGGGGGCCAACGCAAACGTGTATTCCTTAAGATGAAGCTAATAATGAACGATTTTGTCCAAAACCAATATTTTGACTTTTAGATTTTAACTCGGGTGAAGTGCGACTTCGAAACAAGATCTACGGGCGGCATTATAACAATTTCATGAAGACAGATCTTAAAACGCTTTTGTCTTGTTTATCGGGTAAAAAGAGCAAAAAAACAACCCAAACGCGTTTAGTACGATTTGTAGACCGGTTGTTATCGTTCGATTATGAAATATTGCAAATCTCGGGAAAAAACATGGAGTTGATGGATGAATTATCTAGGCACCTGTTGGGACTAGCTCCGCGGATAACAGAGCTAAACAATGCGTATGTGGTAGCACAAGTTAACGCAATTAGTAGTCTATTTAAGCCAGCGGCTAAGGTTAGCACCTCTGATAAAGACAAGCAAAATAACGTAATCGGATGTGCTAATCAAAATTGCAAATAGAGTTACGCCATCGGAAAGAATGAGCGGCGAAAAAATGTATTCACCGATTTCAAAACTGTCATGTAAAGAGCATTGCAGAAATTGCCAACATATTATTTCTTTGAAGATGAGTTTGAATCCCATATTAGAAGAAAACAGCCCAGGTCAGGAGACCCGTGAGCTACCTACTATAAGCGTCCCTGGGACTAAATCGTTACGACATTTGTCTGGTGAATCGACCAAACTCCCGCTGGAAGTGTTTCCAGCCATTTTAACTGACTGCCCTGTTTTTTATGATGCTGAGTTTATTGCAGAACTCATTAAGGCTTATGATATCTTAAAATGCATAGTTGAGGCATTAAAAGCCAAGACTTACGACCAATCCGGGAGTTAGTCACTTGTTTTGCCCACTAACTCGACAAACTGCTAACTTCCAACGGAATTTTTTATCTTGAGGATCGGATGATGATGCCGTTGCAGTTGGGGGCGGCGCCGATCATGTTGAAACTTCTTAAAGGACTTTCAGGATAATCCATAAGAAAGAATTAGGAAAGTTCAGAATGTGGCGGGCAGTTACTTCTAGTGGCCACATATGAATCGCCAAATTCAGTTGACGTCAGCAAATTGTAAAGAGTTCATTAATTCTGGCAAGAAATTGAAAAATTTCATTCCGGAGGGGAATGTTACTAAATTTGACATGCTAGAAGAACCTAATCATGAATTGCAATTAGGCTTTCCAGGAACACCATTATTGGTTTGGAGCGCAAACATGTTTTTAATAGTCTCTGTAGATAGATTTATAGATTTCCCATCATTTTAAATAACTTCTAGAACAACGGCTGGGGTAATTGAAGAGTTTTTTTTTTAGAATTACATTGCTCTTCACGCAATACCAAGGGCAATCTGAACAGACCAAGTGTCTGGATTCGTAGCAAAGTGCATTGGTGAGTTCTGTGCGAACAATAACATCCAATCAATAATAGCGCCGATAGGCAATCATCGAGCTACGGGACTGGTAGAACGGTGTATCCGCGCAGTGCCGGCATTTTTTTTCAGAAACAAACGGTTATTTCAGAAACTAACGCCGACATTAAGAACGGCGCTTAATGAGATGTTTTTTTAATCAGAACAACAAATTATCAGTCGATGTGGTGCTCTCCTTTTGAATCAAATATTGGTCGGAAACCAAATACAATCTGGCACACAGTAACTCAAACTGCGTCATCAAATAATTTTTCTTGGCAAAACGTATTTTTTTCCTAAATGAACACAAAAAGATGCTTCCCCCACGTGTAAGGGAAGGATGCGGTGGGACCGAGCAATGTCTTACAGAATAGAGCACGGTGTTAAGCGCACAGAAAAATTTATCAAGCGTTATCAAGTTATCAAAATTTTTGAATTTTGAACGATAAATCT